GGGGGGGGGGGGGGGGGGGGGGGGGGAAAGTCCTTTCTAAAATGTTCTTCATTAAGAGTCATGTAAACCATCTCTTTATTATTGGTAATTTGGCTTTTATTTCTTGTTCCTTAATTACCTGGTGAGGGGTGTAAAAGGTACACAAGGATACATGTACTTGGACCACTCAGGTAAATCTGAATTATAAGACTTTACCATATAGATATTAATGAATGGTTGTTTGTCTCCAGTCAGTGATGGGGGTGTCAACTATCTTGTCGGGTCACACACCAAGTCGCTGATGGTTTACCAGGATTGTACACTGAAATGGGCCGCGAAGCTTGACATCGTACCGATGCAAGTCTGTGTCGGCACATTCTCGTAAGTATTGTTACTGTAGCTACACTAGAAAAGAGGACGGGAGAAGTCTTCAGTAGGCCTAGTCTGATGTCCAATGCCTTTGACTTACTCAAATTCACTGTCAGTAAAATATGTTGAATTTTATACTATGTGACATTTAAACTGTTGGTCATAGATCTTCGGTGAAGTCAATAAAGCAAATGGTTTCTGGACAAAAAAATTTGAAACACATCTCTGTTCATGATATTATTGTGTAAATCAGGAAAATTAATAGTTCAAATGCTTTGCTATATATTTGGAAAGAATAATTTAAGTTTATAGCTTTCTTAGTGAGGCCAAAAACTTTGGTACCCCCACAGCTGGAGCAGGGGATCATGTTATAATGCTTATTGTTACAGAGACCTGAAAGGTGTCATTGTGACGCTAAGTGATGCGGGGAGATTGGAGTGCTCTTACCTCGGGACAGACCCCGCCCTCTTTATTCCTCCCACAACAGATGCACGGGAACTCAACTACCCTGACATGGATCGCGAGATGGCTATGCTACAGAAGAAGATAAAACAACTAGCGAACAAATCTGGTAAAATATATTAGATCTATATATATCTAAGGAAGTAGCCTTTATATATAAGGATGAGGATGTCTATCAACAGAAATAAAGCTATGTTTTCTGTCAGTTTGTATACAGTTTACTGTAAAATAAACAGTGTTATGTAAATATATATAATATAAATAAAACAAAACACAGAATACTCAATCTTGTTAGATCATAGAAATGTAGATTTAGTCTTCGGTGTTTTGTTTTATTTATATTTTTAGGATCACATGTACATTTAACAACTATTACTGCTTTATATATAGATATATCCCATACAACGTTTTAAACCAAGGCAAGTAGGTACAAATTTTTACTTACCTGTAGATAAAATCCATAGGCCCAGTGTTATCAGACCTGGGTTTTTTCTTGCACTACTGTTTAGCACATATATTTAAATATTGACAGCCTTAAGAAAAATCATGTAATATAAATCCAAGAAATGTGTTTAAAGAAAGAAGTTGTTCTGTATTACAGTGATTTTTTACTGTAAAGAGTTTGTATAACGGTGATTGTTTACATTAAAGAGTCTGTATAACGGTGATTGTTTACAGTAAAGATTCTGTATTACAGTGATTGTTTACTGTAAAGAGTCTGTATAACAGTGATTGTTTACAGTAAAGAGTCTGTATAACGGTGATTGTTTACTGTAAAGAGTCTGTATAGCAGTGATTGGTTACTGTAAAGAGTTTGTATTGCAGTGATTGTTTACTGTAAAGAGTTTGTATTCAGTGGTTGTTAACTGTAAAGAGTTAGTATAACAGTGATTTTTTACTGTAAAGAGTCTTTATAACAGTGATTGTTTACAGTAAAGAGTCTGTATAACAGTGAATGTTTACTGTAAAGAGTCTGTATAACAGTGATTGTTTACAGTAAATAGTCTGTATAACGGTGATTGTTTACTGTAAAGAGTCTGTATAACAGTGATTGTTTACTGTAAAGAAATTGTATTACAGTAATTGTTTACTGTAAAGAGTCTGTATAACAGTGATTGTTTACTGTAAAGAGTTTGTATTACAGTAATTGTTTACTGTAAAGAGTCTGTATAACAGTGATTGTTTACTGTAAAGAGTTTGTATTACAGTGATTGTTTACTGTAAAGAGTCTGTATAACAGTGATTGTTTACTGTAAAGAGTTTGTATTACAGTAATTTTTTACTGTAAAGAGTTTGTATAACAGTGATTGCTTACTGTGAAGAGTTTGTATTAAAGTGATTGTTTACTGTAAAGAGTCTGTATAAAAGTGATTGTTTACTGTAAAGAGTTTGTATAACACTGATTGTTTACTGTAAAGAGTCTGTATAACTGTGATTTTTTACTGTAAAGAGTTTGTATAACAGTGATTGTTTACTGTAAAGAGTTTGTATTACAGTGATTGTTTAGAGTAAAGAGTTTGTATTAAAGTGATTGTTTACTGTAAAGAGTCCGTATAACGGTGATTGTTTACAATAAAGAGTTTGTATTACAGTGATTGTTTAGAGTAAAGAGTTTGTATTAAAGTGTTTTTTTATTGTAAAGAGTTTGTATAACGGTGATTGTTTACTGTAAAGATTCTGTATAACAGTGATTGTTTACAGTAAAGAGTCTGTATAACGGTGATTGTTTACTGTAAAGAGTCTGTATAACAGTGATTGGTTACTGTAAAGAGTTTGTATTGCAGTGATTGTTTACTGTAAAGAGTTTGTATCCAGTGGTTGTTTACTGTAAAGAGTTTGTATTCAGTGGTTGTTTACTGTAAAGAGTTTGTATTGCAGTGATTGTTTACTGTAAAGAGTCTGTTTAACAGTGATTGTTTACAGTAAATAGTCTGTGTAACGGTGATTGTTTACTGTAAAGAGTTTGTATAACAGTGACTGTTTACTGTAAAGAGTCTGTATAACGGTGATTGTTTACAGTAAATAGTCTGTATAACGGTGATTGTTTACTGTAAAGAGTCTGTATAACAGTGATTGTTTACTGTAAAGAGTTTGTATAACAGTGACTGTTTACTGTAAAGAAATTGTATTAAAGCAATTGTTTACTGTAAAGAGTCTGTATAAAAGAGATTGTTTACTGTAAAGAGTTTGTATAACAGTGATTGCTTACTGTAAAGAGTTTGTATTACAGTAATTTTTTACTGTAAAGAGTTTGTATAACAGTGATTGTTTACCGTAAAGAGTTTGTATTACAGTGATTGTTTACAGTAAAGAGTAATAGTCTGTATAACGGTGATTGTTTACTGTAACGAGTCTGTATAACAGTGATTGTTTACTGTGGAAAGTTTGTATAACCGTGATTGTTTACTGTAAAGAGTTTGTATAACAGTGATTTTTTACTGTAAAGAGTCTGTATAACAGTGATTGTTTACTGTGGAAAGTTTGTATAACAGTGATTGTTTACTGTAAAGAGTTTGTATTACAGTGATTGTTTAGAGTAAAGAGTTTGTATTAAAGTGTTTTTTTATTGTAAAGAGTTTGTATAACGGTGATTGTTTACTGTAAAGATTCTGTATAACAGTGATTGTTTACAGTAAAGAGTCTGTATAACGGTGATTGTTTACTGTAAAGAGTCTGTATAACAGTGATTGGTTACTGTAAAGAGTTTGTATTGCAGTGATTGTTTACTGTAAAGAGTTTGTATAACAGTGATTGTTTACAGTAAAGAGTCTGTATAACGGTGATTGTTTACTGTAAAGGGTCTGTATAACAGTGATTGTTTACTGTAAAGAGTCTGTTTCACAGTGATTGTTTACAGTAAATAGTCTGTATAACTGTGATTGTTTACCGTAAAGAGTCTGTATAACAGTGATTGTTTACTGTAAAGAGTCTGTTTAACAGTGATTGTTTACAGTAAATAGTCTGTATAACTGTGATTGTTTACTGTAAAGAGTCTGTATAACAGTGATTGTTTACTGTAATACAAACTGTTTACAGTAAACAATTACTGTTATACAAACTTTCCACAGTAAACAATCACTGTTATCCAAACTTTCCACAGTAAACAATCACTTTAATACAAACTCTTCACAGTAAGCAATCAGTGTTATACAGACTCTATACAGTAAACAATCAGTTTAATACAAACTCTTCACAGTAAGCAATCACTGTAAAGAGTTTGTATTAAACTGATTGTTTACTGTATAGAGTCTGTATAACAGTGATTGTTTACTGTAAAGAGTTTGTATTACAGTGATTTTTTACTGTAAAGAGTTTGTATAACAGTGATTGCTTACTGTAAAGAGTTTGTATAACAGTGATTGCTTACTGTGAAGAGTTTGTATTAAAGTGATTGTTTACTGTAAAGAGTCTGTATAAAAGTGATTGTTTACTGTAAAGAGTTTGTATAACACTGATTGTTTACTGTAAAGAGTCTGTATAACAGTGATTTTTTTACTGTAAAGAGTTTGTATAACAGTGATTGTTTACTGTAAAGAGTCTGTATAACAGTGATTGTTTACTGTAAAGAGTTTGTATGACAGTGATTGTTTACTGTAAAGAGTCTGTATAACGGTGATTGTTTACAGTGATTGTTAACTGTAAAGAGTTTGTATTACAGTGATTGTTTACATAAAAAAGTCTGTATAACAGTGATTGTTTACTGTAAAGAGTCTGTAAAACAGTGATTGTTTACTGTAAAGAGTTTGTTTTACAGCGATTGTTTAGCAGTAAAGAGTTTGTATTACAGTGATTGTTTACAGTAAAGAGTTTTTTTTACAGTGATTGTTTACAGTAAAGAGTCTGTATAACAGTGATTGTTTACAGTAAAGAGTCTGTATAACAGTGATTGTTTACTGTAAAGATTTTGTATTTCAGTGATTGTTTACTGTATAGAGTTTGTATTACAGTGATTGTTTACAGTAAAGAGTTTGTGTTACAGTGATTGTTTACTGTAAAGAGTTCGTATTACAGTGATTGTTTACAGTAAAGAGTCTGTATAACAGTGATTGTTTAGTGTAAAGATTTTGTATTTCAGTGATTGTTTAATATAAGAATTTGGTATTACAGCAATTGTGCCAAGTGTGAAGCAAGAAGATGACCTCCAAATTTCATGTCAAGTCAACTCTAGTCTGGATGAGCCATCTGTAAGTCTGTATCTCATCCTATTATTGTGTGGTTCTGCCTCTTAAATCACTGCCAACAATATTGAAATGGCATCGCGGGGAAGCCAGTATACTCTGCTTTGTCTGAATAAAGAGGTAAATGTCAAATAGGGCAAACATAATGTTAGACATACATGAATGTGTTCATTATATATTTGCCTTGAAATACAATGAATTTGTTTGGGTGCAAGAACGAGTACAATTCTGTGTACAGAACCCATACTCCAAGAGGTAATGACTTTATGGTTAAGTTTGCCAGACATGAAAGAGAGCATTTTACCCTCCACGTGCCCGGAGCTGGACTGCCCTTTGTCTTGAGGTTTTAATGATTCACAATATATTACAATAAATATTGCAATATTTGATCAAATTTCAATATATATCACAATATGAAAATCTTGGCGATACCCAACCCTAGGTAAACCCTGTTTTTATTCACAGGTTGCCGTTGATATGGAGTACGAGGACGCCGATGGAGTTCCCTCCATTACTGTCAGAGTAAGTAACACTAGTGTTTAGGTTGTACACCACTATTTGAATTAATTAAAAATTCATGAGTCTGACAGGCTTCTCTAACCATGTAAATTAATAATGTTTAAAGTTTAAAACATACTATATTTATGCAACAAAAAAAACATCTTTAAATATAAACTGTATATCAGTGGAACTTTCACCCTATCAAACTTTTGCCCTTTACAGGTAAAATCTATATTTGTCGTGCTATTTTTACCCTAGTCATGCTATGACTATTTATAGTATGGTGTGTATTACAGTTTATATTTAATATTTGCTGTCATGATAAATTCGTCCTCATTACAGAGGGAGGAAAATGCAGAATTAAAACTGCAACGAAAATATTCTAATGTACAGTATACAATATTAAGTTTTTGTGTTTAAGTTAGTTTCACTGAAAGTTTAAGTGCTAGACCAACCAAACTTGGACCATAGATACATCTTAGGTAGTACATCTCAACCCATACATCAAATGCTGGATACGGCCTACCTTTCATGGTCCATTGACTTTGTCAGCATCTCCATCAACATTAAGTTTTTGCGTTTAAGTTAGTTTCTGTGATATGTGCATTGATGGTCAGAGCAGGGCACAGGAGACACATATCAATCCGAATGGCTTGTGATCTATTGTTTTGAGGTAATAAGGAGTTGATTAATTTACTGTATTTTGTTTTTGTATTCCATTCATATTTCCATCCTGTTGTACTACAGATTCAGCTGAAGGCCAGGCTACTGCTGGAGAACATCAAAGTGATTGTTCACGTCGACTATCCTCTGGCGTCCAGTTTACAGACATTTGATGTATCAGATGTTGGTAAGTTCAACGTCGTGCGAGGAAATATCAAGTTGATAAAGAAAAATGATGTTCACCAGGTGCTTCTTCATATTATGGGATAGAACTATCTGACATGGGTGTTTTATACATGCTACTTACATATTCCGTCTTTGCATATTGCAGAGTAATCTTCTCTTGTGTGCAGGTATTGATTGTTACGTCATTGGTTTGTGTAAGAAAATTGCGTCGTTTTCTCAAAAATTGATGACGTTACTCTCACAAACCAATGACGTAACAATCCATACCTGCACACAAGAAAAGATTACTCTGCAATACGCAAAGACGGAATACAGAGACAGAGGAAATGATGAATAAATGGTATTTTGTATTCTATGGACAGACTTCTAAAGGACAAAAACATTGTTGCAATATTAGAAGTTATTTAGTTTTACAAATAGCAATTTAATTGATATAACTTGCATTCCTGTTAAAACCATAGCTATGATCTAGAGATGAAAATGATGTTATGTTTTGTTTGTTTCAGATCCTAGTAGACCCTCCGAACATTTTGTGTCCTTTTTTGTTCAGGGTAGAGGACTACCTACGACATTAACTGCAAATGTTTCGGCAAACTACATCAGTGCTTCAGGTAAAAAAAACTTGATGCTTTCGTTTCATAACAAATATTGTATAACAATGTGAAGAAAAAACACTTCACTTACAGTCCAGACTTTCTCAGCACACAGCTCAGCATGCAACATATCTGTTTAGCTTCCAGTTGAATAACTTTCAGAAAAATCACACTTCAAATTAGTAGAGGACACACTGCATATTCTTCTGTATATGCTATTCTGTTCATCATGTTTCATTTAACTCATTCACCCCTGAAGACACATTTGAACTCTTCTAACTCAAAGGTTGGAATAGTTCATTATGAAATTTCAGGGGTGAATGAGTAAAGGTAGAACTTGATTATAGCTAAGCTGTTGATTTATCAATTTTCGGCCAGTTTTCTGTGTAATAGCTTCAACGTTTTGATGTTATAGAGCAGTATATGATGATAAAATGGTTACCATAGGACCATTTCCATATCCTACTCCGTATCAGCCCTCGATCCATATCAACCATCAGACGTCCGGCCCATATCAACCATCAGGCGTCCGGCCCATATCAACCATCAGGCGTCCGGCCCATATCAACCATCAGACGTCCGGCCCATATCAACCATATGTTGTCCGGCCCATAAGGCTGATATGAAGTAGGATTTGGAAATGGCCTTATGATAACAGCTAATTATCACACTGACCATTTTAATATTTCAATCGTAAATGCAATCAATAGATTTAAAAAAGATCTGACATTTGTGTTTTTTATTACAGGAGCACCGAGGGTAGCCGTTGGTAGGGTCAAGCTCCCCATCAAACTAGTGGTAAAGCCTGTTTTACCGGTGAAGAATGCTGAATTCAAGCTTACACTAGATTCCAATAAACCTCCTGCAAACCTTTTAGAAATTTTCACAGGTAATCAAATCAATCTCCCTGACATTTAACAAGTTCAACAAACCTCTTGCCAACCTCCGAGACATTTTCTAGGCTAATATAAGGCACACTTCTCTTACTTATCTCCTAGACATTTTCAAAGTTCAATTAAATACGATTTCCAAGTTGCAAGCCTTTTAAACATAGTGGACACCTTTAACAGTCTGTTCCGCCGTTGTCCAATAAAGTTGACAAACTGGTTGTTGGTTGTTTGCTTTAGGCAAAAGCAATTTGTCAGAATTATGTGTTAAAATAAAAAAATAAAAACTGAAATAAAATTAAGTAGTGATGTAACTGCAAGGTAAACATATAATATGGATTGTCCAATGTTAAATTAAATAAAAGACATGCTATATTGACCAATATTTTGGTTGCAGATTTAGCTGGGGAGAACGCAGGAGGACAAGGCGCTGCTCTAGGGTTTCAGTATTTCGGCGGACCTATTGTTACAATACTGGCGTCTAAAACGTCACGTAAGTCCCAATTTTAGCTACATATGTGAGTCGAAATCATCTTGTATGTCTACAAAACTTCTGTCTCCAGGCCAGGACATACCGAACTCCTTAAAAATTGGTACATAGTTGTTATTCCCTGCTTAATGTTCAGCATTTAAGATTATCACAACAACTTGTCAGTATAATGTGACCGGGTGGAATGCTGTGCTGGGTGCCTTCTGCATGGTATTTCAGTGAGGTAGCACTCCACACTCTGCATCAGATCTTTGCTATCCCAAGAGGGCAAGACACCAGCATACCCTGCCTCCAGCACACATACACACAAGCATACATACCACACATGATGGCACGTCCTTAGATGTCCTTGGCTGTTGATAGGACGTTAAACAAAATAAAACCAAATAAAAACTAAACTACAACAGTTCAAGTTACATTCAGAGGGTTTTACCTCACATAAGTCTACAACAACTCCAGTCAAATACTTAAACTTAAACTTCTTGTAAGCAGTGCCTGAAATAATTATGCTACAAATTGAAAGTTGAAAAAATAAACATCAGTTATTTTTTGGTTCATATTTTCTCCTTGGTACAAAACTCTTTGTTACACAAAAAAATTGATTGTACTGTGAACAGCAAAAATACCTAAATATCTAGCTAGATATACAAAGGACCTGACTTCACCACATCAAGGCAACCGGCATCTGTAGGATATGACAGATGTTTTGTAGGGCAAGCATTAAGAGAGAGACTTCTGTCTATTGGATAAAACGGGACGTCTGAAACTTAAATATATCAGTCAAGTCTGGTTTCACTGTAAGCTGTAAGTCACAATTGTAAGAATTGAGTAGTCTTCCCTCCACTGTACGACAAGTCAGGTTTCACTGTGAGCTGTGAGTCACAATTGTAAGAATTGAGCAGTCTTCCCTCCACTGTATGACAAGTCCGGTTTCACTGTAAGTTGTAAGTCACAGTTGTAAGAATTGAGCAGTCTTCCCTCCACTATATGACAAGTCTGGTTTCACTGTAAGCTGTAAGTCACAGTTGTAAGAATTGAACAGTCTTCCCTCCACTGTATGACAAGTCTGGTTACACTGTAAGCTGTAAGTCACAATTGTAAGAATTGAGCAGTCTTCCCTCCACTGTATGGCAAGTCTGGTTTCACTGTAAGCTGCGAGTCACAATTGTAAGAATTGAGCAGTCTTCCCTCCACTGTATGACAAGTCTGGTTTCACTGTAAGCTGCGAGTCACAGTTGTAAGAATTGAGCAGTCTTCCCTCCACTATGTGACAAGTCTGGTTTCACTGTAAGCTGTGAGTCACAATTGTAAGAATTGAGTAGTCTTCCTGTAAGAATTGAGCAGTCTTCCCTCCACTGTATGGCAAGTCTGGTTTCACTGTAAGCTGCGAGTTACAATTGTAAGAATTGAGCAGTCTTCCCTCCACTGTATTGCAAGTCTGGTTTCACTGTAAGCTGCGAGTCACAATTGTAAGAATTGAGTAGTCTTCCCTCCACTGTACGACAAGTCTGGTTTCACTGTAAGCTGTAAGTCACAATTGTAAGAATTGAGCAGTATTCCCTCCACTGTATGGCAAGTCTGGTTTCACTGTAAGCTGCGAGTTACAATTGTAAGAATTGAGCAGTCTTCCCTCCACTGTATGACAAGTCCGGTTTCACTGTAAGTTGTAAGTCACAGTTGTAAGAATTGAGCAGTCTTCCCTCCACTGTATGACAAGGCTGGTTTCACTGTAAGCTGTAAGTCACAGTTGTAAGCATTGAGCAGTCTTCCCTCCACTGTATGACAAGTCCGGTTTCACTGTAAGTTGTAAGTCACAGTTGTAAGAATTGAGCAGTCTTACCTCCACTGTATGACAAGTCCGGTTTCACTGTAAGTTGTAAGTCACATTTGTAAGAATTGAGCAGTCTTCCCTCCCCTGTATGACAAGTCTGGTTTCACTGTAAGCTGTGAGTCACAATTGTAAGAATTGAGTAGTCTTCCTGTAAGAATTGAGCAGTCTTCCCTCCACTGTATGACAAGGCTGGTTTCACTGTAAGCTGTGAGTCACAATTGTAAGAATTGAGTAGTCTTCCTGTAAGAATTGAGCAGTCTTCCCTCCACTGTATGACAAGTCTGGGTTCACTGTAAGCTGTAAGTCACAGTTGTAAGAATTGAACAGTCTTCCCTCCACTGTATGACAAGTCTGGTTTCACAGTAAGCTGTAAGTCACAGTTGTAAGAATTGAGCAGTCTTACCTCCACTGTATGACAAGTCCGGTTTCACTGTAAGTTGTAAGTCACATTTGTAAGAATTGAGCAGTCTTCCCTCCCCTGTATGACAAGTCTGGTTTCACTGTAAGCTGTGAGTCACAATTGTAAGAATTGAGTAGTCTTCCTGTAAGAATTGAGCAGTCTTCCCTCCACTGTATGACAAGGCTGGTTTCACTGTAAGCTGTGAGTCACAATTGTAAGAATTGAGTAGTCTTCCTGTAAGAATTGAGCAGTCTTCCCTCCACTGTATGACAAGGCTGGTTTCACTGTAAGCTGTGAGTCACAATTGTAAGAATTGAGCAGTCTTCCCTCCACTATGTGACAAGTCTGGTTTCACTGTAAGCTGTGAGTCACAGTTGTAAGAATTGAGTAGTCTGGTTTCACTGTAAGCTGTAAGCTGTAAGTCACAAATGTAAGAATTGAGTAGTCTTCCCTCCACTGTACGCCAAGTATGGTTTCACTGTAAGCTGTAAGTCACAGTGGTAAGAATTGAGTAGTCTTCCCTCCCCTGTATGACAAGTCTGGTTTCACTGTCAGCTGTAAATCACAGTTGTAAGAATTGAGCAGTCTTACCTCCACTGTATGACAAGTCTGGTTTCACAGTAAGCTGTAAGTCACAGTGGTAAGAATTGAGTAGTCTTCCCTCCCCTGTATGACAAGTCTGGTTTCACTGTCAGCTGTAAATCACAGTTGTAAGAATTGAGCAGTCTTCCCTCCACTATGTGACAAGTCCGGTTTCACTGTAAGCTGTGAGTCACAATTGGAAGAATTGAGCAGTCTTCCCTCCACTATGTGACAAGTCCGGTTTCACTGTAAGCTGTGAGTCACAATTGTAAGAATTGAGCAGTTTTCCCTCCACTGTATGACAAGTCTGGGTACACTGTAAGCTGTAAGTCACAATTGTAAGAATTGAGTAGTCTTCACTCCACTGTATGACAAGTCTGGTTTGACTGTAAGCTGTAAGCTGTAAGTCACAAATGTAAGAATTGAGTAGTCTTCCCTCCACTGTATGACAAGTCTGGTTACACTGTCAGCTGTAAGTCACAATTGTAAGAATTGAGTAGTCTTCCCTCCACTGTACGACAAGTCTGGTTTCACTGTAAGCTGGGAGTCACAATTGTAAGAATTGAGCAGTTTTCCCTCCACTGTATGACAAGTCTGGTTTCACTGTAAGCTGTAAGCTGTAAGTCACAATTGTAAGAATTGAGTAGTCTTCCCTCCACTGTACGCCAAGTCTGGTTTCACTGTAAGCTGTAAGTCACAGTTGTAAGAATTGAGTAGTCTTCCCTCCAATGTACGCCAAGTCTGGTTTCACTGTAAGCTGTGAGTCACAGTTGTAAGAATTGAGTAGTCTTCCCACCACTGTATGACAAGTCTGGTTTCACTGTAAGCTGTAAGTCACAGTTCAACGTACAACAAAAATGCCAAATCTACAACTTGCTGTACTGGCCCAAGCAAATTTAGGTTTTTTAGATCTGCACTGCTCAAGAGACGGCTAGAGAACAACTCTACACGAAATACCCTGCTACACAACGGTACAACCCAGAGCATGTGTAACACTTGTCAATCAGTTTCAGGCAAGACAAATAATTCCTGCTTTTCTTACAGAACCGTGGAAATATTTGATTATGACTACCATGTGATGTATTGCTTGTTTGCGTTGTATTTCAGAGCGCTACAGACTTCAGTGTGATAAACTAGAGGGGTTGTGGCTGGTAACCAAGGAGGTGGTTGGTCGTCTTAACAACCACTTCAACAAGGGCAAGACTGCGGCCTACTCCATCTACTTCTCGTCACAGCTCCCCCTACAGGAATACTTCGACCTTATCGACAGCCATTTTGAGGTCAGAATGACTTGTTTAATTTTGATTGTAAAGACAGCATAATACAGGGATGTGATTCTCTTTTTTCTCTTTTTTCCTGTGATTTTAAATTTAGAGTTCCTGATTTACTCTGAAACTTTAGAAAATCAAAGTTTCTAAGTTGGTGATTTGTGTTTCTCCCTTTTCACTCTGAATTCCTCCTTTTTTCCAATCCCCAATCACTTCTGATATTATTGCCCCTTGTTTTAACATAGAAACATTTGTATGACTTGTATACTTATTTTTTTGTTACTCTATCCTTGAAATGTATAGAAGTTTTACAATAAATGTTTCTTTATACTGTTACCTGTCCTGTCCTGAACATATTGTTCAGAATTTAGGAAGCTTTCTCAAAAAATATTGAATTTAAAAAGAAGAAAAAAATCTGTAATACAAAAAGAAAATGCATAAAAATATCTTCTGAACTTATGGAACTAATGAGATTAATGTTCAATTCCCATTTAAGTTTATTTAGATGTAATAATTGAAAAATAATCTCATTTATTTTCTTGACTTGTTGAAAATTTATATTGAAAATAAGTTCTATGTTTAGATGATGAAATTTGTCTGTTTACAGCATCGCCTGAACGCCAAGAGGTGTAGTGAGATGTTGGCTCAGCGAGCGTCACAGTTCCGTGCAATACAGCGTCGGCTTCTGACACGATTTAAAGATAAAACCCCGGCTCCTCTAGGCAACCTTGACACCTTACTAGAAGGAACTTACAGACAGGTTGGTACTAGTGGTAGTTTTACATACTCAGCTGAAATTTTCACCTTTCTTCATTAAAATCCATATTGGCCCAGTTTTAATTTTGCCCTTCGCATTCAATAACTTTGTTTATTATGTTGCTGTAATCATAAATTTGCCCCCATTACAGAGGGCGAAAATTAGGTAAACAGTATATATAGAGTTTGGAACATTCATCATCACTTTCATTATTTGCCCGTTTCTTTCTGTTTTTGTTAGCTGTATGTAAACCCCTGAAATGAAATCAAATCAAGCAAAGCATAGGTAATTAGGGATTTGTATTGCAATACAAAACTTTTGCAATATCAAACAGTTTTTGTGGAGAAGGGGGACATGACAGAAATTGATCAAACTTTATACAAATGTCAATTATACGAGAATATTTCAGATTAGTTTGTATTTCTGGAATATTCAAAGTTAATTCAAAAATAGTTTTGACTTCCATTAATTCAACTATGTTTAAACTCCTGAACAACCCTCCTTACCAGATATCACTGACCTAGTAGACATATACTAATCTTATGACTAGTGAGTACTGGGACTCAGATATTTGAGTCCCATTTTTCCTTTGCGACTCTCCAACCTTTTTAGGACCCACTTCATGTCTTAGTTATGGGACTCGCCAAAATTTATCAAAAGTTGCTCAGGACTTGCAAGAAAAAAGTCCTCAAAAATCACTGATGACATAATTTATTTACATTCTATTTCTTTATGTTGGCGTATAGTTGTTACATTTGGCGGATGCTGTTGAAGACAACAACAAATCGCAGGACTTGGCTGCCAACTCTCTAAACTGTGGCACACGCCTGTTCAACCTCCTCATACGACTCTGGACCAGCATGTCTGATGACGAGTTTAAAGTTCTGCAACAGACCATAGCACCAATTGTACCCAGTTCTCAAGAGCAGGTCAGTACACTTTGGTTACACTTTGGGTACACTTCGAGCATCCTCGATACTCGAGGGATTACGCTCACTTTCACTCCCTGCACCCCTGGAATATGTTACAGCAAAGTCGAAGGCTCAGTGTGCACTACCTTTTGGATGAGACGAGAAGACTAGTTTGATCCTTTGATGTACGTTGAAAGAATTTGTTAGTCGAGTAACAGTAAAATTGATTTGCTTTGAAGGTGGGTGTCGCTCCTTTGTAATCTTCAAAGGACAAGTATTAACTTTAGCGATTGGTCAGGTGGGTTTTTTACCGAGACCAATCAAATAGCTAGCCGGGTGCCTTTAAGTTTGCTATGACATATTCCAGGGGTGCAGAGAGTGAAATGAGTGTAAGACCTGGAGTATTGAGGCTATATATGAGCAACTTTTACGCTACATTTTGACCACTAATTCATATCTATAAAACACCATTCCATAAAATCCAATATTTCACGGTATGTTTAGTAGTAAATGACTCACGTGTGTAGATATGTAAGGAAAAGCTTTTTATTTTCTAATGTACTTAACTTACCAAGGCAATTAGTCTTTACAACAAAATAACATTGAGACCATTATTTATGGTAACACCAATAATTGTATCGTTTGTTTCAGGGCTGGGAGGAGTCTGTGGATGCGTCAGTGACACACCTCCTTCGTACAACTCTAGCCAAGTCGGCCAAGGACCAGACGTTAAACCCACAGCCCCTACAAATGCCTGAGGACACCACCAAAGTGAAGAAACACATCGCTCTCATGTGTGACAAGCTGGGGAAGGGAGCAAGACTTGTAGAGGGCATGCCCACAAATACAGCAGGTAAAACATTTCTTCTTTAATTAAATCCTTAGTTTTGTGGGCACAGTTGGACAACTTGGTAAATTCTGGTTTCTTTGAACTGGTATTTGAGGGTAACATTATACATTTATTGCCCTTACTGTAGGAAAACATGACTCTTTGTTTCTCCGTGGTTAAACTTGTTTAATCAAGGAGAAACAAAGAATCATATTTCCCTACAGTAGGGACAATAAATATTTTATTATGCCAAAAACAGATAAATACATAAAACAATAACATAATTGGAGAGATGATCAGGTTGACATACCATTGGTGGTGTCTGCTGCCGTCATTCGGAACTAGGTTGTTGTTGCTCTTGCCAATTTTTCTAGAGAGGTTCTGAATAAGGGAAATATGATCAGGGAAACTTTAGCATGTGAGGATAACTGACAATGTTTTATAGCCCCGTCATGTGACCAGTATCATCCAATCAGACATGGTTATATAAAGCTGAGGTATAATAAGATTGAATATGTGGTAATGGTTATTGAAATACTGAGTCCAATTCTAATACAAAGGTAGTGTTAATCATTGTTACATTGTCGCTGTAGCCCTGTCACCCTGTTACAAGGGAGACAATTTAGGATCGTAACACATGTCTTACAATGGTTTTATCTCACATTCATCTGGGGACAGCATCAATACACACACACTAGTAAAGTTGAGAATAGTCCAGTATCTTTTAACCTGGGGACAACATCAGTGGAAATACTGGTCAAATGTTTTAATGAAACAAGAATCCATTGACTTTTGTTCATATTTCGGCTGAATTCCCAGGAGTTTATGAACAGTATATAATGATGTGTTATAACGATGTCATATACATGTATTAAACTTTTTTTGCAAATAACAAGCTCTTTTGATGGAAAAAAAATTAAATAATAATATGTGTGAATAAGACATTTTTTCGTGATCAGTCACTGATTATGTGTATATATGTTTCAAGTGAATATGGCACCTTCACAACGAAAGGAGAAGAAGAATAAGATCTCGGCCACAAGTAAAACGGTGATGGAGAACGGACACATCGACACCAGTGATGATACCGAGACCTTAATTGGTAGTCAGTTTGGTAAACAGAAACACAAACGGAAAGAAGCGGACTCACTATCCTACCCTAATGGCATGTCAGAGTTACCTGCTCTTGGATTACCGGTGGAGAATCAACCAGATGGTGAGTTACAGGCAGGACATCTTTTTGGGTTATCTCCCTTCAATCACATATTATATACACTGAACAAAGAGGTTCCCCAAGGAATGATGGTTGGGTATCATGTTTATATAACTTGACTTTGTTCATTTTCAGACTGTATAAAGCGCATGGTTTACTGACTGAGTGTCTTTTACAATTTGAAAATTTAATAACGAGAGTTAGATAAACATGATAACAAACCATCACGAGTTCGGGGACTTTTTCTCCAACAACTTTCTGATATAAAATCTAGAAAAAAACATGTGTGTTCCTCGGAAAACATTATTCCTGTTTCCACTTGGGGAAACAATTGTCGTGAACTATGATGTCACAATAGAAGATGACATTGGAAAGCATTACTGCTTGACATCATAATTAGAAGATTGACCAAAGATATATAACGTCCAGGGTGTTACCCACTAGTGGTAATACAAACCAAAACTGTTTACCAACTCCTAGCAGGTTTATCCAATGAGTCGAGAGAGAGGAAACCTATAGTGGTTGTGGGAGAAATGTGTGTCCTATATTGTCTGATTGTTCATACATTGAACATTATGTTCCTTATTGATAGATTGATCATACACTGGACGTGTGTCTCATTTTGATTTGTCAACAATAAAGTCTGCATATTTTCAAGTAACCGGACACGGACCCTCTTTCTCCTATTGTTTTATCAATCATGCACTGAACATATATATCCCGTATTCATTGATTGTACAATGCACTGAACATATATATCCCGTATTCATTGATTGTATAATGCACTGAACATATATATCCCGTATTCAGTGATTTGACAATGCACTGAACATATATAGCCCGTATTCATTGATTGTACAATACACTGAACATATATATCCCGTATTCATTGATTATACAATGCACTGAACATATATATCCTGTATTCATTGATTGTACAATGCACTGAACATATATATCCCGTATTCATTGATTGTACAATGCACTGAACGTACGTCACACTTTGATAGACAACCATACATTGTAAATGTATTCCTTATTCATTGATTGTACAATGTAAACATGTGTATTTATCACATAATCAACCTGTTATCCAGTGAATTCGCCCATGTAAAATATGTACATATGTCACTAGTGTAATATACCCTGGAGCGTTTTTCATTGGCTGTGCCAGTCAGAAATCAATTGTGATGTCATAATATGGACAATGATGTGACGTCAGAAATTGTGAATGGCGCATTTAATTTTTTAAATAAAAACTCCTAAGACTCGTTTCATAAAATCTCATATGAAATGAAAACTCATTTAAGATCCTATATATTTATAGTAAAGTGACACAGACTTGTAAACATTCCTACGGGCCTGACAAACCTTAAGCCCTACCTCAAGTTTAAGTGACCCAGACTTGTAAACATTCCTAAGGGCCTGACAAGCCTTAAGCCCTACCTCAAGTTTTAGTGACCCAGACTTGTAAACATTCCTACAGGCCTGACAAACCTTAAGCCCTACCTCAAGTTTAAGTGACACAGACTTGTAAACATTCCTAAGGGCCTGACAAGCCTTAAGCCCTACCTCAAGTTTTAGTGACCCAGACTTGTAAACATTCCTACGGGCCGGACAAGCCTTAAGCCCTACCTAAAGTTTTAGTGACCCAGACTTGTAAACATTCCTCCGGGCCTGACAAACCTTAAGCCCTCCCTCAAGTTTAAGTGACCCAGACTTGTAAACATTCCTACGGGCCGGACAAGCCTTAAGCCCTACCTAAAGTTTTAGTGACACAGACTTGTAAACATTCCTACAGGCCTGACAAGCCTTAAGCCCTACCTAAAGTTTTAGTGACCCAGACTTGTAAACATTCCTACGGGCCGGACAAGCCTTAAGCCCTACCTAAAGTTTTAGTGACCCAGACTTGTAAACATTCCTATAGGCCTGACAAACCTTAAGCCCTACCTCAAGTTTTAGTGACCCAGACTTGTAAACATTCCTACGGGCCTGACAAACCTTAAGCCCTACCTCAAGTTTTAGTGACCCAGACTTGTAAACATTCCTATAGGCCTGACAATCCTTAAGCCCTACCTCAAGTTTTAGTGACCCAGACTTGTAAACATTCCTACAGGCCTGACAAGCCTTAAGCCCTACCTCAAGTTTTAGTGACACAGACTTGTAAACATTCCTACAGGCCTGACAAGCCTTAAGCCCTACCTAAAGTTTTAGTGACCCAGACTTGTAAACATTCCTATAGGCCTGACAATCCTTAAGCCCTACCTCAAGTTTTAGTGACCCAGACTTGTAAACATTCCTACGGGCCTGACAAACCTTAAGCCCTACCTCAAGTTTTAGTGACCCAGACTTGTAAACATTCCTATAGGCCTGACAACCCTTAAGCCCTACCTCAAGTTTTAGTGACCCAGACTTGTAAACATTCCTATAGGCCTGACAACCCTTAAGCCCTACCTCAAGTTTTAGTGACCCAGACTTGTAAACACTCCTACGGGCCTGACAAGCCTTAAGCCCTACCTCAAGTTTTAGTGAACCACTTTATGTTCAAAGTTTATAAAACAACTATAGGTCGAGCCTTATTTCTTCAACAATCGTTAACTTAACACGATTTTATTTTGCAATCTTGGTTTCCCATTTGTATTTCAGAGGGATTGGAGTTCCATAAGAAGAAACAGATTGAGGCTATGGTTCCAGATCTGGACGATATGGCTGACCACATGGAAGGACCCGGCCTGGTTCCCTTGGAGGACTGACCACTGTCCAGACAAGAGACTCTCTATCACCACTGATCATTGTAAGTTACTGTAGAAATCGCAGAAATTTCACAAAATACCTAGCTTGTGGGTCTACGCATGTTTTTTCCCACATTCGCATTAGAAAATATTGTTCTTCTCTTTGAAATCGTACTTACTGATAGTATCGAACTCATTTCAAAAAACCACACACACATAAATTGAAGGAGACATATTTATGGATTCTGAAGAAAAAGAGAAAAAAGGACCTAAAATATGTTGGCAGTAAATATGAGATGGCAAATGGAATGAGGGACAGTATATGGAGGTTTCACTGTACATGTTATAATGACCAATAAATCTGTTATAAAATCCAAATGTTTACTTCTGATCAAAGCCAGAAAGATGAGGTTACATTTTAACACAAAATATCAGAAATAAGATGGTGGCTGACATAACAGTAGTGATGTAGCAAAGCTCTAGAGCTCATGGTTCTTAAGGTGAAGATCAATGTTTAAAGTTTTAACATATTTGCTCCCTAGCCTGTTACCTTGATTTAAGTACGACAAGAAAATCTATATGAGGAAACCTCATGATCATATTGTGATCGTGGGTCCTTCAGTTCTTAAGAAGAAGCGACACAATTACCAACATGCTCCCTGAATTTTGAAGTTTGACATGGAAACAAACTTTTTTTATCATGTACATTTGGATTATGTTTTCACGTTTGAATTCTATTTATACATGATACAAGTTTTTGTAGCTACTGTACAACATCATTTGGAGGTTGGTATTGTAACATTATGTTTCTAATGATTCACAGACATAAGAGAGTGAAGGGTTTTAGTTGGTTAGTTAGTTCTGCGATCAGTTTGGGCTCTGTGGGAGCATGGGCTCTGTGGGAGCATTTGAATGCACATGGGGAATGCAAGCTACACAGAACAGAACAGAACTTTATTGAACACTCAGATCGATACAGACGATACATGAGCAAGTGTTGCCTTAGTAGGCCATTCCAGAGCGGTACTGATCACCAATCTTTAATAAAAAATCAAATTTTGTAAGGTTATAATCAGGCAAGAAAAATACTGATGTTAGGGTTTAATGATGCCTGTTTTAGACTTACTGGTAAACATATTAGATATAGGCCTGTTAATCTGTATTAATGCCGAACGGTTGTCAATTTGCTCTCTGTTTAGTTATGAGTAGTGTGTATGTAGTAGGAAAGCCCACTAGGGTCTCACAATTACCTCATTTGTTTAGTGTTGAGTTTGTAGGGATCTGCTGAATGACATCAGTGCTAATGATTACTGGGAAGTTGTTGCTTCGGTTTAATTTTCACCTTTTTCTCCCTCTCTAATAATGAGGGTGAATTTACCATTACAGTGAATATAAGTAAACAACAGAATTAAATAAGTAATTAAATGTGAAGGGCGAAATTAACACTTGACAAAACTTGATTTTGGGTGGTTCGGTGGCGTAGTAAGTAACGCACTCGCCTTTCATCAAGGCAGCCGGAGTTTGAATCCCCGATCAGATGTGAAAAGGTATAGGGGTTAACTGCCCGACCATGTGGGATTTTGTCCGGCTATTCTGGTTTCCTTCCACTCTAAGACCATCACACTAACATTCAGGCCAACAGGAGTGATTAATATAAGTTGTAAAAACTTGTTTCATAAATGTTGTTAAATAAATAAAGTTTATATTTATATTTTAAAACTTGATTTCATCAGTGAAAAGCCATGGTTTGCCTGAGTGAAAATGTCGAGGTATACAGTATTAACCTTACTGCTTCTAAGGCTGTGTATATAGTGTTTGATGTAGTTATAGGTCATGGTTGTACATAATCTTTATATCAATAACTGAATATAGCAAGGGTCACAGGTTTAACACTGTAACAGGTTTTACACTGTAACAGGTTTTACACTGTAACACATTTAACACTGTAACAGGTTTTACACTGTAACATGTTTTACACTGTAACAGGTTTTATACTGTAACAGGTTTTACACTGTAACAGGTTTTACACTGTAACAGGTTTAACACTGTAACAGGTTTTATACTGTAACATGTTTTACACTGTAACACGTTTTACACTGTAACAGGTTTTACACTGTAACAGGTTTTACACTGTAACAGGTTTAACACTGTAACACGTTTAACACTGTAATAGGTTTTACACTGTAACATGTTTTACACTGTAATAGGTTTAACACTGTAACACGTTTAACACTTTAACAGGTTTAACACTGTAACAGGTTTTACACTGTAACAGGTTTTACACTGTAACAGGTTTAACACTGTAACAGGTTTTACACTGTAACAGGTTTTACACTGTAACAGGTTTAACACTGTAACAGGTTTTACACTGTAACAGGTTTTACACTGTAACAGGTTTAACACTGTAACAGGTTTTACACTGTAACAGGTTTTACACTGTAACAGGTTTAACACTGTAACAGGTTTTACACTGTAACAGGTTTTACACTGTAACAGGTTTAACACTGTAACAGGTTTTACACTGTAACAGGTTTTACACTGTAACAGGTTTAACACTGTAACAGGTTTTACACTGTAACAGGTTTTACACTGTAACAGGTTTTACACTGTAACAGGTTTAACACTGTAACAGGTTTTACACTGTAACAGGTTTTACACTGTAACAGGTTTTACACTGTAACAGGTTTAACACTGTAACAGGTTTTACACTGTAACAGGTTTTACACTGTAACAGGTTTTACACTGTAACAGGTTTAACACTGTAACAGGTTTTACACTGTAACAGGTTTTACACTGTAACAGGTTTTACACTGTAACAGGTTTAACACTGTAACAGGTTTTACACTGTAACAGGTTTTACACTGTAACAGGTTTTACACTGTAACAGGTTTAACACTGTAACAGGTTTTACACTGTAACAGGTTTTACACTGTAACAGGTTTTACACTGTAACAGGTTTAACACTGTAACAGGTTTTACACTGTAACAGGTTTTACACTGTAACAGGTTTTACACTGTAACAGGTTTAACACTGTAACAGGTTTTACACTGTAACAGGTTTTACACTGTAACAGGTTTTACACTGTAACAGGTTTAACACTGTAACAGGTTTTACACTGTAACAGGTTTTACACTGTAACAGGTTTTACACTGTAACAGGTTTAACACTGTAACAGGTTTTACACTGTAACAGGTTTTACACTGTAACAGGTTTTACACTGTAACAGGTTTAACACTGTAACAGGTTTTACACTGTAACAGGTTTTACACTGTAACAGGTTTTACACTGTAACAGGTTTAACACTGTAACAGGTTTTACACTGTAACAGGTTTTACACTGTAACAGGTTTTACACTGTAACAGGTTTAACACTGTAACAGGTTTTACACTGTAACAGGTTTTACACTGTAACAGGTTTTACACTGTAACAGGTTTAACACTGTAACAGGTTTTACACTGTAACAGGTTTTACACTGTAACAGGTTTTACACTGTAACAGGTTTAACACTGTAACAGGTTTTACACTGTAACAGGTTTTACACTGTAACAGGTTTTACACTGTAACAGGTTTAACACTGTAACAGGTTTTACACTGTAACAGGTTTTACACTGTAACAGGTTTTACACTGTAACAGGTTTAACACTGTAACAGGTTTTACACTGTAACAGGTTTTACACTGTAACAGGTTTTACACTGTAACAGGTTTAACACTGTAACAGGTTTAACACTGTAACAGGTTTTACACTGTAACAGGTTTTACACTGTAACAGGTTTTACACTGTAACAGGTTTAACACTGTAACAGGTTTTACACTGTAACAGGTTTTACACTGTAACAGGTTTTACACTGTAACAGGTTTTACACTGTAACAGGTTTTACACTGTAACAGGTTTTACACTGTAACAGGTTTTACACTGTAACAGGTTTTACACTGTAACAGGTTTTACACTGTAACAGGTTTTACACTGTAACAGGTTTTACACTGTAACAGGTTTTACACTGTAACAGGTTTTACACTGTAACAGGTTTAACACTGTAACAGGTTTTACACTGTAACAGGTTTTACACTGTAACAGGTTTTACACTGTAACAGGTTTAACACTGTAACAGGTTTTACACTGTAACAGGTTTTACACTGTAACAGGTTTTACACTGTAACAGGTTTAACACTGTAACAGGTTTTACACTGTAACAGGTTTTACACTGTAACAGGTTTTACACTGTAACAGGTTTAACACTGTAACAGGTTTTACACTGTAACAGGTTTTACACTGTAACAGGTTTTACACTGTAACAGGTTTTACACTGTAACAGGTTTTACACTGTAACAGGTTTTACACTGTAACAGGTTTTACACTGTAACAGGTTTTACACTGTAACAGGTTTTACACTGTAACAGGTTTTACACTGTAACAGGTTTTACACTGTAACAGGTTTTACACTGTAACAGGTTTTACACTGTAACAGGTTTAACACTGTAACAGGTTTTACACTGTAACAGGTTTTACACTGTAACAGGTTTTACACTGTAACAGGTTTAACACTGTAACAGGTTTTACACTGTATCATGTTTTATACTGTAACAGGTTTAACACTTTAACAGGTTTTACATTGTAACAGGTTTAACACTTTAACAGGTTTTACACTGTAACAGGTTTAACACTTTAACAGCTGATGGATATTTGCTGATTCAGTTTTCAAAACTAAGTCTTCAGGGGGAAATAAAAACAAATACTTAATATGGCTCAAACTACACCATACACGTTATAATTTAGTGCCTCCAGTTTCTTCATATTTTCAACTGGCTTCATCAATTTTATTCAAAACTTTATATACACCTAAAAGGGAGGCTACTCTGTTTGTCTTGAACAAAAAAAAAGATTGAAAATATTGGCAACTGCTGTGAGTGTTTATCTGAAAATGTAGTTAGCTTCTCTCCACAAAATATTGAAATGGGTATACAATATAAGTAGGTTCATAATTTCATACTTATCTTTTTTGTTCAAAGTCTGTGTTTTTATAGGAAAACATAGATAAACAGGCACAAATTCTTCAATTATA